TATGAATGATTAGCAAGAGAAGAAAAAAAAAGTAAAAAAAAAAAAAAAAAAGAATGGAGTTTTAATAAGTTAGAGGCAGCATTCTTTAACCAAGATCCATTATATGGCGAGAGTGGGCCAAAAGAGATTATAATCCTTTTTACCCAGGAATTCCTGCTCCCGCGGTCACTTTGCTGGCAAGAGCACGCTCTCAGCGCGGTGCTTTGCAGACGCGTCAGGCACGACTGGTCTCCTGCCAGACAAGGACAAGTGCAGTAGCATTCTGCAGCAGTCGTGGATCATGAGCCTGGGGTACAGTTCTGTCCTGCAGACTCATCCTCATCCCTTTAACCTCTGGCAGGAGCTAGGTGACCGTAAGCACCTCTGCCTATCCTCTGGCCTGTGGTCTGACTTGCGAGAGGCACTGAACGTGTGGTTTGACACAGCTATAGTGGGCCACCCCGCCTTGTTCTGCCTGCTGCTTGTACCCACAGGCAGCAGCATCGCAGCGCTCTGGTCACTCTCCGTGTGAGTTCCTGTGTTCATGGAGTGTCTTTTCCAGGCTATGCATTAAGGTTTCTATGCCATCGGGGCACTCACTAAATGTAATTTCATAGAAGAGTGGAAGGCTGCCAGAATGCCTGTCTGTGAATGCATTTGTATGCAGAATTTGATTGAGGCAAGTGGTTGGAAGCCATAATATAGAAACCATTGCTCAGAGCATTCCCAGTCATCCAGAAAAAAAAATGGTCATGTTTCGATGTTACTTGTTTAATGAAACATTAAATGTCGAGGTGGAAATGTTTCTCAGGAGACTTATAAAAATGCAGGGAGATTTTGAAGGAAATATAGCTCAAGCACTCCCAAAATAGGTGTCACCTTCTCAAATGAGAAATATAAAATGGCCTAAAATTTCAGCATCTTGAAAGAGTAATTTTAAATGGAAATCTGTGAGCAAGAGGACGATTTCAGTTAGGAAATCTTATCAAGATTATGAAGATGACATTATGGATAGCGGTATGTAATGAAATATCACTGTAAGCAAGGTTAACTCTGTTGAATTTACAAGAATATTTCCCGTTCCTCAGAAAGAGGTGTGTGAAAGACAGGATTTTCTCCATGTTCATAAGTTTACCTGGCTTATAAACAAGAATGACAAAGATAATGTTCCCAGATAAGTGTTCAGAAAAGATGTCCTATTCTGTGCAAAAGTGTAGCACTGAAGACAAGATGCAGTTCAAAATGTTTTTCCTCTCCCTTCATCAAAACCAGTGAGAACATTGTTTAGACTGTTGGCAATTAGCTGTGTCCCAGCAGAATGAAAGCATCTCCATCTGCATCCAAAAACTTAATCAGCCTTTGAATTTGCCACCAGTTTTCTGTCTTTAAATAATTCTAAAATATATAGAATACAACATCTTTCTGATGATACATCCATTGTTCATTACCTATTTTACTTTGCAACCAAGTTTTCCTGATGAGAATCTGAAGAAATTCCAGGGATGTGAAGAAATTCCCGGTCTCTATAACTGCCTTTTAATGTTTTGTCATCTAAAACAAGACTTCATGTAAAAAGTGCAATATAAGAGATGCTGCCTGTCTAAAGCTTAAAGAGTTAGGGAAGCTACATTTGCCTGATGTTCTACAGATGACTTTAGTCTTCACACAACAGGAAAAAATTCCTAGTAAAATTTCCATTTCCTTGAAAAAAATTTCAGTTGAACAACTATCAGAAGTGAAGAAACAAAACAACGCTTTCTAGTTTTTATGCCAATTTATGTGACATGCTGATTGCTTTTTTAGCAATGATTGCAGTAGCTGCAGTGAAATTAGTTTTCTTTGGTAATGAACTAATATTTTGGTCAAATTCCTGGCAGTTATAGTATTTCATATAAAAAGTCAAGTATTTTGTATGAAATAAATAAATAGTACAATATTTGGGGGATCTGGAAATCATTGGTGAAATACCAAGTGCAGAAAGTGTAAGTTTTTAAGTGTAAAATGTATAAGAATAAAACCATTTATCAACTTAGCTCTTAGACTTTCTCTTTTGCTCTTGAGAGTTCAGTGGTTTGATGCAATTCTTTTGAGCTAAAAAATACCCATTTTCCATAAAGATTTGGGGGACTGATTGAGAATTTGAAATAGCGCAATGGAAATACAGAAGAAGAAAAAAAAATAAAAAGAAAAGGTTGAAAAAATCGAGTAGGTGTTTAAAAGAGACACCAAGTTACTTGAAGGTTGGAAAAAATATCTTGCAGCAAGAAACTTAAAATAGAATTGGTTCGAAGTGCTGTGATGGAATGTTCTTCAGCTGAAGAACAAAACTGAAACTCTGCTAGAAGGGGTCAGTTTTCACACTTTCGGTTTTGAAATGTTTCCAACTGTTTCGAAGTTGTTGAAGCATTGTGTTTCAGCATACTCTAAATGAAAAATTATGACTTTCTGTTCTAAAAATCTTCATCTCAGGGTATAACATTTAAATATTGCAAATTTATATATAAATATATATTGCAAATTACTCTTTAATGCGTGTGAGAGAGATGTTAATGAACATTTGGATGAATTTGACTTTGTATTAGCTTTTGCTAATGAGCAAAAACCAAAGTTTTCTCCAACTTGTTTCAAAGTTCAATTGTTTCAGATATCAAAAAAATTTCACTGGGACAAAAATATTATCTACCTCTGTATTCATAAATTAGATTCGCATATGACCATTCTCCAGCATTGAGGCCAACTCACATGTAAAAGCCTCATCCACACTGTTAAACTCTGTCATCTACCAAAATAAGACCACTTACAAACTGCATATTAAGAATAGTTTCCTGAAACATGCCCAGAGACTGGTTGGGTGAGTGTGAACTGTGCCATGTTAGAGCTGTTCCATGACCTGCCATAGGCAATTGGGTTTAGTGACTGGGTTTCTTTCCTTACTGCATTTAGTGTATTTGTGTTTTGCATAGGCATATGTTATGAGTACTGAATTGTTATTTAATCTTTCATACAAAGGCATAAGAGAAGGCAGTGACACTAAATTAGAACTACAAAATGCCAATTAGAGATACAAATTTGTAACAAGGCAATTACCATTGAAACAAGCTGTAGACCCAGCATCTTTTCATGTCTTGATGTCAAGATAGGACATTGTTGCGGCATGCGCGAATGGAAAGTACAGAGCTCAGTAAAGGTCTCAGAGCGAAGAGTAGATCAAAACAAATAACCCAATAACCTCTCCCAGGGATAAATTCTCTAGGAAAATCACACACTAAAGTAGTGTTTGCTTCTTTTGTTACATTATTATTAGTTATAATTATGCATTAATTTATATTATAGAAGCATCTTAAACCAGAAGTTGCCATATAAGTTTCGCATTAAGAGAACGTGCATATTCCAAGGGCTACATTTTGACATTTAACTATAGGCAGAAAAGGTGACATCTTTGTCAGGACTGTCAGGAAATGTCCAAGAAGGCAAAGCTCTGATCAAGGCAGTGCCACAGTTTGTGCCAGACTCTTTAAATCAAACACATTTCCTGTCATTTCCTCTATGACACTGCAAGGACATCTACGAAGTAAAGTTAAGCAGAACTGAATCTTTCAAATTTCAAGACTAACTACGTTTTCTGTTTTCTTTTGCTACTTTCATGTCTTTTTATGTCAAAAGGGCTTGAGCTCAGTATTTGTTACTGAGAGGTGTATCTGGTAATTACACATTATCAAAAACAAATGAACAAAATAACAGCAATAACAACAAAACCCTTCCCAAATTTTCAATTGGAAGCTCAGTCTCCACAAGTGACCTGTGAAATACACACTACATCATGGAGCCAATATGTGCCTAGAGGACTATTTTTCTTCCTCTGATCCTTTAGGAAAAAAAAATGCTCAAACTGCTTGGTGCACTTTTCCACTGGTTCAATTTAGTAGCCTGTAGCCTGGAGCTATGGATGCAAAATATTAGCTGTAAAACTGTCAAGACTTGTTGTAACAAGCAGCAACAAGCCATCGCTTGAGGGACATTTAAACAGGGTTTATTGAATGTTTTTAAAATATACAAAAGCCTTGCTTTTCAAAGGATTTTTTTTTTAATTTTTATTCTAGGGTATTACATGATACTGGAAAAATCAAACTGAAACATGTCGCATGTAATAAAACTCCTAATTAGGGCTCTAAGTGGTACTTCTGATGATCCACCATCTCCTAAAATATGAGTCTGTTTGCAGACTCTAGTTGATATGAAATCTGGTTTCCTTACTTAGGCAGTGCTACTGGATATGTTAACCCACTGTGACAGAAAAAGTCAAATACTGGGCAGCAGGGGTAACTAATATGTACGGTATGTTCCCTGTACAACTTGGTGCTCTACACAGTACTCTGAGGCTAGCTGCAGTTTCAAAGCAGACTTCTAGACACCAAAATATTCATGCTGTCTTGATCTAGCATCATTTAAGATTTAACCTCAGTTTAAGATTTAACCTCAATTTCTTAGTTATGACAGATTGTACTATATTTATGCCCATTAAACATCAGATTTAAGCATGTTTCTGAAGTAGCTAGTACACAGAGTTAAAAGTTTGAACAGTCCTTAAGAAAAATGTGCCTCAGTCTGGATGTTTAGAACTGATGTGTCGTTATGTGTACCTATAGAAAATGTTATCTGTGATTTAATTCTAAGTAAGATGTGTTCCTGAGCCAACATCCTTTGATTAAAAATGGCTAGACATATTTGGGACCATTTGGGTAGCCTCTTCCTTATTGAGAAATCTGATTTTGTGGCTGGTGGTTGATCTCTAGCCTGAGCAACAATGGATGGAATATTTGTGAAGTTGATTTGAGAAGCTGACACATTTTAAAATTAAAAGTGTCGGCTTGGATAGCAAAAAGTAAAAATATTAAGTAGATTTTTTAAACTCTACACAGGATAATGATTTAAGATTCTTCAGTCTCCTTACCTGTGTCATTCTTTTTTCCCCTCTTCGTGTTTGTCTGTCATGATGGTCTCCTGTTTCTAATTCCTTGCAGACATCTCAGTGAGTCTGTTAGCAGTAGTCGTCAGCTTCTGCGGGCTCGCCTTGCTCGTAGTCTCGCTTTTTGTCTTTTGGAAGTTGTGCTGGCCCTGCTGGAGAAGCAAACCTCTCACTTCTAATGTCAGTAATATCCCTCAAAGCAACTCCAGTGCTCCTACGGAGGTTTTTGAGACCTGTGAGAAAAAGGAAGTTAAAGAAAATGGGAAACCTTCAACAAAGGTACTTGAAGCTGCACTGAAAATTAGCCACACTTCACCTGATATACCAGCAGAGGTCCAGAACGCGCTGAAAGAACATCTAATCAAACATGCACGCATGCAGAGACAGATCACTGAGCCTACGTCATCATCAAGGTAAGGGACGCTCAAATTTATGCCATGTGCCCTGGGAATAGACAAATGCCAGAACATTCAGCTCAAGAGCTTCCCGATCCTAGGTTATTCGCTGAGTTGTGGGTAAAACAGCGGTCACGTTAAGCCAAAGCTTCCGTGTTCTGTGAACAAAATACTATGTAAAATAAGGTGCACTTTCATTTTTGAACATATAAGCATGAAATATATATTTTCAGCTGTTTTGCCAGTACATATGTTACTACATCAGGCACTTTCATTTTAAGTTTTGTGTGCAGGAAAAGCTGTGTCAGTGTTATTTTTAAAGTATTGCAAGTCTGTAGAGTCTAGCTTTTCAGGGAGATATTTTTGTTGCTTTAACAGTTGCTTTTGCAGATGAAAGTTTCCCTCATCATTAAATAAATGACAGCTTTGTTTTTGATGGCACACATCTTTAAGACACAGTTTGCCACTTATAAAGGAATTAAAATCCTAGGCTAAAAATATAGATCCTTATGGAGTCATCTTAAAGCACTGCAGATTTTATAGAGATTTTTTAAAAAATTATAAGCAAATAGTAGGGCTGAAGTTATTTATTTCAGAAGAAGATGGAGGAGAAATGGAGGAGAAATGGAGGAAACTTTTATTTTCCCTCAGGTACTAGATTAGGTTGATATGCAATGAAAAAGAGATGTGCAATGATCTATAGCATCAAATGTTTTTTTTTTTTTTTTCTCTCCACACACAGTCCCATCAGATTTAATGCATGAGAAATAAACAAGGAGATACAAAGTTTGGATCCTACATCAGAAAAAAATTCATACGAAAATGAAGTTGAAAGGGGGGATTATGTGTGATATTATATAATGATTCTAATAAGAATAGAATTGCAGTATAGAAAGTAGCTTTTACTCACTAGGCTGTGAGGTGAATACATGTTGCTAAAGCAATAAAGTTGAATTACAGTAAGTTTCAGTGCCCCAATATTGGAAAAGGCACATTCTTTACATTCAGTGGACACACATTTTGTGAGCTGCTAAGATGATAGTATTTTGCCAGCGCAGTATATTCTTTGAGATGGCAGGTGCTAAAGTGCCTTTTTTTCAGCTTTTCCAGCATGTTGGAACAGCCCACAAGCAACTGCAGGAAGCTACCAAAATTTAGAGACCTCCAGCCAAGTGAGATCTAACTGAGTCTAGCAGCTGAACTGTCTCCTGAATGTTGAGTCTGTTCAGAGTGCACTAAGTTACACTGCCATGGCTATGCCAGCTTCCAACTACTGTATCCACTTGCTAAGAGAGGGGATATATTCTGAAAAACTTTTCCAAAATGCTAGCACGACAACTGAAATTTCAATTGTCATATTGGAAATAGAGGTATCAAAACCAATACAACTTAGTATGACTAAAATATTTCTTAATGGGATATTTTCTAGCTGGACATTAATAGAAAGAATTTTATCTATTTTGTGCCAATAAGTAAATCTTTAATTAGTCAGATTGTCATGTCCTGAATAGACAGAATAACCAGCTAGTTGACAAATGAACTCAGATGTTCTCTGTGATACTGCAGAGAAAGAGAAACATTCCAGGAACATGGTCCAGAGTTGTTTCAGTTTGGAAGATATTCCCACAGACCTCCAAAATAATTTGGACCAGGACCTAAAACCATGAGCTATCTTCAAAGGACAGTTTTCTGAAAAAAGCTGTTTATCATTCCTTTTCTTTCTACACAGGTTGGTGACTTTGTAAGGGAGATCTTTCTTTCCATCTTCTCTATATTATTTGTATCAAATCTTCCTTCAGAGAAGCATTTCCCTCCCCTCGAGTAGCCATTCCGGTGTAGCCAATTAATAGTACAGTGTTTGGAGACATCATCTTCTGTTAGAGTTTGCTGAAAAACTTCGCACGCTTGTTATATACCATTTTTACAATCCAAAAATGCACCTTTATGTGCTAACAAATGCCTCTTTTCTATAACTCTGCTTGTTTCGCAAAGCTGCCTGCCTGCTGAGACCTATACTTCCCACAGTCCATATTAATTATGTATTAATGTATGAATTTAATGCATAAGATGAAGACTGGACACTTGGACCGACTTTTTGGTTGTGTAACAGAATGTTGGATCACGAAATTACTAAAAACTACCACAGTACCCTTCCTTTAAAGAAAGGGGAGCCTTTAGCAGAAATAGTATAGCTTTCCCTTACACTACCCTCACTGCAACACTTCTTCATTGTACTTCAGAGAAACTAAAATGCATCTCCAAACTGTTCCCAGTTGACAAGAGATCTAATAGAAATGTTTGCTGAGTTGTGTTAAAATTTCCTCTACACTAGTCTCACCTGAGCTTGTGCAAAGAAAAGAGTTGTAGCCAGTTCTCTGATAGCTACTCATATCTTCTGCCTGTCTTGCCAGACCGCCATGTGGAAGTTAGATGACATTTTTTGTCTTCATGCAGCCACCAACTCTTAGCAAAAGCACTGGAATCATATTAACTCATTATAATTGAAGCATAAAGAATTTTAAAAGCCATTTACAGCAATAATAAAATGTACCTGAATACTTTTTCTAGACTGCACATATAACATAGACATGTTACTGCAGGGATATGATGTATTTTTGCTTAATTACAACTATATAATTTTAATGGTTCTCAATAATATGAAAAAAACTCCTGCTTATTTTTTTGTTTAAATCAGTCCTTAGTCCCAATTAGCCAGTAAACTGCAATAAGTGGTACATTCCTGCATCAGCTCTGTACATTAAACTACATTTTAGTTCTGTGTTAGAGAACCACTCTTCCCAATACTTCGGGGGGGTATTCTCTGTTATATAGAATCTCTATATATTCTATATTATATTCTGTAATATAAATTATTGTTTCTGTGATATTAGTTCCCTCAAATGTCCATCTGTAACTTCAAAAGGCAGGTTCTGAGCAATTTAACTAAGTCAGTTCCCGAGAGGTACAAAGGCAAATGCGAGGTGCTTAGGAATGTTAAGGTTAAAAAAGCCAACAGGTCTGCCTAGTTTAAGTGCTTGCAAGAGAGATAGGAGCCTCTATTCTGTTTAAATACCACTTAAGTGTCTGTGTCCATTGCAGGCTGTGGTCGTAAAGATTAGCCTCCTGTCATCCAGGAGAACTAGAACAGGCCCATACCTCATAAACCTCAAGTCACAGCAGAAACAGCATCCTATCCTCTTCTGTCTTATTTGTCGCAATTGTACTGAGTTAGGAGTCAGCTTCATACATCAATGTTCCTCTGCAAGTGCAATTTTCTACTGAGGATTTACATACAGATTTGCTATGCCTCAAACTGTGTTTGTTCTGAGATAAGGAAGACATGTCTATAATACATATGCTACTAAGAGTCAGTAGTGATCAAAGTGCCTGAATTTGCACGTTAGTAGCTTTGCCACATCTTTACAACCTGGTTGCCTGTCATCCTTGTACTTCATTATAACCGTCATTAATTCCTTTGTTATTGCGGAACAAAAGAAGATAAATATGTTGCCATGACAACAATGAAGCATCTTAATAATTAACACACCAATTAGCTATCCTGGCAAAATGCTGTGACTCAGAACAGATTCTAGGCGCTATGTAATTCGGGTATTGGCTCAGCAGAGCAAAAGCACTGCTGGTTCCCTCTTTGAATAATCTTACAGCTGCGTCGTTTTGTTCGGTGACACCTCGCAACACCTAGCTAGGGCTAGCCCCGCTAGAGGAACTTGCATATATGAAATTTGAAATTTTGAAAGGAGGTTGGTAACTTAGGAATCACAGATTCGGGGGTTTACATATGATTTTTACAGATATTAACTCAGGTCATCATATATGCAAATAGATTTTTTTAATATCCGTCTTAATTAAACCACAGGAAAATGTCACACAGTCACTTTTACTGTTTCCCCTGCATAACCATTTTTTTCTACTGCCTCTCTTTGGCAAGATTTGAACATGATTATCTGGGCATATCTGTACTAAAGTTGCAAGTATGAGGAGCACTGAGGAAGGCCTACTTGCACAGATTAGTACAAGTAATCTTGCACTAATTAATCTGTGCTTACTTGCACGGCAAGTAAGTAACACAGGACTTACTTTATGGAGTTTATTTTGAGGCAGGGACACTAGGGAGCTAGCACGTGAATTGCTGGATGCCCAAACACCCAAAGTCCTATTGTCAGTACAGTGTGAGTAGAATTCAGTTTCCACCTTAGTTTGGGCCTCTGAGAACACCTACTAGGCTGAATTTTTCAGAGAAAAACAATCCTCAAATTCCCTGCTGATATTATTATAATTATCTTTTCCTGACTAGCTTGGGCCTTTTAACTCCTTGCTCCATTTCACTGTGGACATTGTATACTATGAACTTGAGTACTCTTAACATCTGAGGGCAAAAAAAGTCTTTGAAGTGGCCCATCTTGGAGGAAAAAAAAGGTAAAATGTGTTATGAGAAGTGCATATTATTAATTTAAGCTGCAGATCAAAACACCTGGATTTTCTGGAGCCACTTCAAATCAAGACTATGAAGTCTTCCATCCCCTCTTGTTGTGTTATAGTAGGACTGTTCCCTACATCTAACACTTAAAGAGCCAAAAGGGGAAATGTTCTTGTCTATTATTGATGACTGCAGATTATCCTCTTGTATCTCAGCTCAGCTGAACTGCAGTAGTTTTGTGCTTTGTGTTCTTTGTGTCTTCTACAACCACTTCAGTTAGAGCAAAAATACAAACAGTGTCTATGAAATGAGTCCTGGTAGCTTTCAAATGGACAATTTGCATTTCTGTTTTAAAGAAAGAAACACAGCTGTGTCACCTCTTGTTTTCAGAACACAACACCACAGGGAAACAAAGCAATAAGGCAAGGCTGCATTTGTCATTAATAAGCAATTGATTGCAAAAAGCAGAGGAAATTCTGACAATTAAATCATTTTTAATGGCAAATAAGTATACTTGCAGGAGGAGATATTGAGTTTCTTTCTTTTACTTCTGTAAGGCTGGTTTGATTTCAGTCTTAATAGGAAAAAAAAATCCAATGATGTTCATGAGTCAAGATAAGCCTGTAAATACTCTGAATGTGCTGCATGGTATCCAGAATTACAAGGATTTAAATGTAATGTATCTTGGTAGGAGTGTATGATTTGATTTTCTAATACATTACAAAGAAGAATTTGAGAACAAAAGAAAAAAAAAAGCTACAAAGCTCTCATGAAAATATGTTGACCCAAACTTTGATATTTATTAAAGCCAGAATGAAAGCTTGACGGTATTATTGGCCAAGGCAACTTGTACCCTGGTGTAGCAAAGATCTTAAACAAATCTATGAAATGTGCTAGGATGGTGGCTTATACTGGCAAAGCACTATGCTGAAAACCTCCAGGCATAGCTTTTCTTGGCCTTTTCAGTCCAACATGGATATATCGATGACAATGCTATGGGTGATCCTTTTTTTTTTTTTTCTGCATGACTGCACTTTATTCATATCCTATCTCTGTGGGAGCAAGTGATGTTGGAGCTGTCACTTGCTGCAGGAAAGAACCTGAATTCACTTTTAGCAGTATAGCCTGAAAACAAGATTATAAACACATTGCCAGGACACTGGTGTGTCTCAGACCAAGAAGGTCAATTCTGAATGTTCATTTCCTCTCAAGGATGTTTTAACACTTGAAAAACGTTTGGGGGGGATTTAAAATTATTTTTAAAAGATGAACCTTTATTAATTTAGACTTCTTGTATTTTCTGTTTAGTAACACCCTTATATTTTCCTGGAGATAACCATGGCTCGTTTTGTGTGTGTGTGTGTGTGTGTATGTGTGTATGTGTCTGTGCGTGTACAGGCACAATTCTTTCAGGAGGCATTTACCAAGGCAGATGCAAGTGTCCAGTGTTGATTTTAACATGGGAATAGATCCAGTTTTACAAAGGAGAGAGACTACAACCAGCATTGGGAGAATAAAGCCAGAACTCTACAAACAGAAGTCGGTGGATTCCGATGGGCAACAAGAAGATGTGAAAACCTGTGGAAAACTTAATTTTACTCTCCGGTATGATTATGAAAATGAACTTCTTGTTGTCACAATTGTCAAAGCCTTAGATCTGCCTGCTAAAGACTTCACAGGAACATCTGACCCCTACGTTAAGATTTATCTGCTTCCAGATAGGAAAAAGAAGTTTCAGACACGAGTTCACAGAAAGACATTAAATCCTGTCTTTGATGAAACCTTTCAGTTTCCTGTAGCCTATGATCAACTCAGCAACAGGAAATTGCATTTCAGTGTTTATGATTTTGACAGATTTTCTAGACATGACATGATTGGGGAAGTTATTCTTGATAACCTTTTTGAAGTCTCAGATCTCTCCAGGGAAGCCAATGTATGGAAAGACATCCACTGTGCCACCACAGTAAGTAATATGTTCCAAAAGTGTTAACGTAATATTTTCATTTCTCCTTTGTAGTCTGTGGCAGAGCATCCTGTTTATCAGCATGTCTGGAAGAAGAAGAAAGTTGTCAATATTTTCCTTTAAACACAGTGAATAAGATGCTTAGGAAGTTATAAAATTTAATTACTAAAAAATCTTCTGGGAACATGCTGTCACCCTCATGGCTTACTACATGAATGTAAATTAGGTCTATTAATTAAATAGTACATCACAAAGAGTCACTGATTAACAAGAACAATTAACATTTTCCTGTTAGCAAAATACTTTGTCCCTCAAAGCGTCCAGCTATTAAGGGACAGAACCCTCCCTGCTCTTCATAGCACATTTTCATGGATTAAGATTCTTGTGAAAGAAAAGAGAGAGGCTAAAAGATTTTAACATCCAAAAAGTCCTTTGCTGGGTATCCCATGTTTAGAGTCTTCTGCTGTTGGTTGCTAGCATGATTCAAGAAACACAGACAAGAAAAGTTATGAAATAGAAATTATTTGTTTCTTCTTGCAGACAAGAAAAGGAAGACTGTATAATCTACCCATAAAGTAGAGGACAGGGTATTATCAGGAAATCCATGAGTCTCCAAACTTCACTTTTGTTAGCCCAGAAAACCAAACTCATCTTTCCCATTTGGAAATTTCAGACAAAAAAAAAGAGAAGGCTTTTTTTTGGGGGGGGGGGTGTCTTTTTAGTTTCTATGCTATTCATGTAGAAAATTTCCCATCCCTTGTTCAGCTAAGATACACAAAACATTCCGAGTTATCCCTGATTTTCATCATAGGCTACACTGCTCTCTGTAGAGCAGCGAGGACAAATGGCATCTGGAGGACAAGGCAGAAGTTAGGCACGTCCGCTAGAGACAGAAGCTTAACACTGTCTATTGAGTGAAGCCAGATCTCTCTCATGTCTCTTTTCCCAAATTTTTTTTCATGCTGTTCATATTTATTGATCAGGGAAGTCTAGGTCTGAATGACTAGGAAGACAAAGAGGAGTTGAAGTTTCTCACCAACCTGAGCATGAGCAGTGTGTTTCCTGAGAGAGGAGAAGCAATACCAGGGAGCAGAGCATATGGACACAGTTTCTAATTGTGAGTTCAGGAAAACAGGTCTACCAGACTGACCTGAACAGTCTCTGGCACGTTTCCAGTACATTGCATCTGTATATGCTTAGTTTTAGCATGGTCGGCCTTCAGGCAACTATGCTCTCAACCTTAAAATTAAATCTGTGTTTAAGGTCTTGAAATAATAGCCTGATAACTTTTTTGCATGGTTATTCTAGCTTTGATAAAATCTTTAATACTTCAGTAATGATTTAAATGCTTACTGGTCCTTTGCAACAGGCATACAAGTAAAATCTTTAGCTGATAGCTAGACTGATTTCAGTATACTAGAAGTCCTGGATGATTCATCGCTTTTTGAACAGATTGAAATGCCAGTGCCATATTCAATGATGCTGTTGGGAGAGATACTAATATACATCTGGATGAAAACAATTACTGATCTTGGCTACTGAATCCTAATTCAAGTTTCTTCTTCACTGAGGGACAATATGTGCAGTTACAGGGCTTAGTTCACTCTGCTGTTGTTCTACTATCTATAACGTTTAGGAAAGAGCACTCAGATTTGGGATTTCAGCCTTTAATGAGAATGGTTTATAGTAGTGCACATGTTTAAACAAGTTGTCTGCATCTAAACAGTTAACAATAAACTGTGAAAATGAAATATATTCTAGTATTGGCTAACCATATCAGTTTTTACAAGCCTTACATTGTTGTCAGCAAACTTTGTTGGAAATTGACCTAATTGATTCTTACTGTCAAAATGAAACCATCTTAAAATATGTTCTTTTACTATATGTTCAATGTCTTCTCTCATATTTTACTTTAGCTGCTTGATATAGATTAAAATTGGTTTGCTAGTAAACATTTCTAGTTCTGACATTTCAGAAACTGTAAGGTGAGGGGGCCAATCTTGCCCAGAGCTAAACAGTGTTTTAAGTGTTAATCAGTGAGGACTTATGTTTTAAGTACCAAATTTAAAGCCTACCAAAGTCACTAAATAGCAAATATATACCTAACTAGTGCTTGCTAGCTAGTGCTAGCTTGCTAACTAGTGATTTGGATCAAGCCTTGAAAAAATAATCCCATTCGATTTGCAATTAGTGAGAAATAGCTGTATTGCAGGCAAGCATATTTTGGCGTTTATAAAGAATCTTTAAAAAGCAAATTGTCTGCTTCAGTGGGAAGGTGCTTACTAAGCTAATCACACGACAGCTTGAAACCAAGACATATATATACAAATGTATTTCTCATGCTTTTTCCTTCTTTGTTGTATGTTCTGTGAAGTCTCCAGTCTAAGAGTTTGGGTATGTTTCCAATACCCAGTGATTTGCTTATACTGTTCCTAATGATAAATGGTAAAAAAGGCTGGATGTGACAGATCAAAGAAGTGATCAAACTTAAAATACCCAACACTGGCTTCTCCACAGCTTTAAGTAAGTCCCTCACATATATTCCATGGTCAAACATTTTCTATTCAAAAGTGGAAATGAGGGTAAAAATCAGAACTTATATTTATGATACAAGGCTCTGCAGGCAAGGAATTGAAGATGCATCACATTTGCCTTGGAAATGGACTGCAAAATTCTACCAGTGAGGGGAGCTATCACTAGAAAAAAAGAGATTGTTCACTAGTCAAAGACTCTCTATATGTAGTTAATAGTTAAAAGGCAAGACATTTTTAAAATATATGCTTGCTGTTCATAAAGAGTTTTTGTTTGGTACAGGGAGAACTCTATCCTCTTGGGAAGATCAGGATAGTCACACCAACTCCTTTTGGTCTTAAGATCTATGACTGTGAGAGACCACGTTTTGAATGCTTTTTCTTGCTTGTGATGGTCATTTGGAACTTATTTATACAAGTGCAGGATTGGCTTCCCTCGTGCTCATTTTTGTTATAATTTTCAGCTGTATTCATCTTTTGTAGTTTGTATTTTGTTCCTTTAATTTTTCATTTATGTCATTGTTTCTCTGTTATCTGTTCAGTTAAAAACTGCAGCTATTGTATAATATATAGCATGTACCTGTTGTAAGTGCTAAAGCATTTTCATTGTTTAATGTTGAATTATCAAGATAAAATTTTGTGTTGAATCTGTTGTGGAAAAGAAGCATTCTAGATATCTGATGATATTAATATCCCAAAGTTTTGCTTATACATGGGTGATCAAGTTTTCAATAAATGATCCATCGTTTACTTCTGTTCGTTTGACTGATTAAAAAGACAAACTCAGAGGCAGCTTTGAAGCATGCTCAGTGTATTGGACTATTGTAACTCTTAATACATAGTAATTAAATCAGGGCAATAGAGGCAAGCAAATACTATCAAATCAATTTCTTGATTTGATATCAATAGCCAAAATATCTAGTTTCTCTTGTTGCAAAGTGCTTCTGAGCATTGCATACAGATCTGATGGTTTTTTTTTACTCCCAAAAACATGTTGCATACTTTAAAATAAGAAAAACTATTTCTTTGAATTGCTGATAAGAATTTAAGTGCAAATGCTCAATATTGCAAATGTTTAGAGAGAGACCACTTGTTGTAGTCTGAGTTAATGTAACACATAGAATGTACTTTCTAGATCTAAATGTTTAATAACTTACCATTAACTTACTTTCCCTCTAACATCATTGCTCAAAATCTTAGTGGAAAGTGACTTTCCAAAAAAATTTTTTCCAGAGGTTTTCTGTGAACCCTGTAAGAGTAGCCAGTTATAGGAAACTACACAATTGGATAGAAAATAGGGCTCAGAATTTAGATGAAAGCCATTTCCAAAATAAAGGTGGTCTCTTGGGGATGTTAGTCTTGGAGCTGTCATGTATTTGTAGCCTCTGGGATTATCTCATGTAAATTGATGGAATTTGATTATTATTTAGTCTTACAGCACCCGTCATCTCTGTCCTACAATTTTGTAAAGTCGAATGTGAAAGAAGGTATTGTGAGGACACAGACTTCATATGATGCAAATGATGTATGTTTGTTCTTGCTGGAGCACTTGGTACATAAGTGAATTGCATTACTGAAAAAGATAGAAGAGCTTAGATACCATTTAGTATATGTATAAAAAGTGACATTGTATTTTAAAAGTTCTGTCTTAAACACTTAAATAGAGTAGCATGTCACACTGGTTAACCTATTAGCTATTGACCTCAGTCATGGAAAAAGATGCTTCTGATTTTGAAAGCGAAAAACAGTTGAGCTCACCATGCAGTTCACCCATAGAAATTGCAGGCATAGTCTTTGCATAGTTCTCCCCGTGGTTTGCTGTTTCCTGACTGGATAAAAATTAGTTTACTAGACCTTACTTTTAGTAAGACAATAGTGATACAGAACAGACAAGGATTTATCTTACAGTGGTCGAACTTTGGGACCACATTGTAATGAGTAGCTTAGTTCTTGACATTTGAAGAACTTCTCTCTCAGGAAGTGTTTTATCACAGTGGAATTAGAGGCTGTGCCCTACAATTAACCATGCTCATTAGAACAGACTTACACTATTAGTGTTTCTGGAAATGTCCATAAAATCTCTGACGCAATGTTAAACACACGTGGGAGCGTAACAGCTTGTAAGCACAGAAACATTTATCATTTCTGTAACGAGAGCAGCGCCTTTAAAGCCAAGAATCCCTGGTGCTTGTCATTTCCAATCATGGTCAATGATATAAAAGATTCATGTCATAGCCTGCTGCTGAGTGGATGAGACAATACTCTGGGTTGGTTTTTACAGGAAAAATATGGAGGCTTTTCATTTAGTTTTGGGGCTGCTTTAGAACTGGGAGATAGCTCGAAAAGATGTGGGTTGCTTTGCAGTCATGGAAAGCAGGAGAGATTTCTGTTTTTATTATTGTATGTTTCTTTTCATTTGAAACAAAAAGAAATTTGAATGTTCTGTTTTGTTCAAGGCAAACTGCTATT